TTGCAGGTCTCATAAATTCATTGAATTCCTGGCCATGTGGCTTCGAGTACAGTTTTTTCTTGCATCACTAATGCAGTTTGGTGGTGGTGTTTTTTTTTTAATGAAAAGCAGATGTCTTAGGTTATCTCACCTTAAAACCTCTTATGGCATCAGTTGCTGCGGGCAGAATGCACTATTCAGAATGGTTGTCCACATGGCACGACCTCTAGTGAAGAAGGTGCAGTTGGGAAGCTTGCAGATGCGCTTGTAGTGATTAACCCTATTTATGTTTGCATAAGCATCTAATGCCTGGAGCTGTTTTATTCTTCTGGAGTATTTAATGACAGCAGGAGGGCATAGTGAGTGTGTTGATCTTGCAGAGGAAGTCATCTTTAAGATGCCTATGAGCCAGCTTTGTGAAGACCTGCAGGCTCTCTGCAGAATTGGCAAGTTTAGCCCTTCCAGGTTGTTCAAACAAAAAAAAAATGTATATACTCTAATACAATCAAACATGAAAGATACAGTAAAAATGACAGGCATCTTTGAAGCATGGAGAAAAAGCTTTTCAGCTGAGTACTTCAAGATCAATCTATTTAGTTTATTGTGAGGAAGGCTAAGTTTTGACTTGTTTAAGATGAATGGATGTTGCTAGTGGGAGAAAATACTGAGTGTTAAATTCACTTTTTTATTAATGAAAAAAATTTAAAAAGTCGAAACAGATACAAGGCAAATGGAATTACAAATAAAGGGCTCATTTTATTCAATTAGACTGATTAAACATTGGAAAGAGCTGTCAAGCAATGGATTTAGTAACCTTTTTTATGTTCTCAGGGCTGATTTCTTTCTAGAAGATATTCTTTATTCATGCATACACCACTGAGCTCAATATAGATTTAAGTAAGTGAAGTCAAAGAACTCATGGCACATAGAAAGTTAGATTCAATTCATCTTTCTAACCTTAAACCTTGGTAATTGTATAACGTTGTGGTGTGTTTGGAGAAGAGCATCAAGAAAGAGTTTATGGATTCAGGGAATTGGTTTTTGAGATCAAAATGTTAAATATGTACCATTTGGCACATAAAGACACGAGAACATAAATCTGCAAGTATTTGTAGATGTGCTGGGAATATTTAGCATAACTGAAAGGGTTTATAGCTGGGAAAAGTCAGATGAGGACAGCCCTTAAAATAGCAGAAAAGACCTTTTAACAGTGAGATGTATAAATTTTTAACTTAATTATCCACACTTAGTGTTGAAAGTACTCTTCCACTTAGACTCTGAAATTATTCAACCCAACCTTGTTTCCTTTTGGTTAGCAGTCAGAATGACAGATGGAGAGAAAAGGAGTATTATTTCAAGAACTGTAGTTCTTTGTCTAGGCATGTAGAATATACATTATAGTGTAACTGAAATGTGTTTTCATTCAGTTTGGCCTTTTATCATCATGGAATGATTCTCTGTATCATTCCGTTCAGAAGACACACCTTTTATTTGCGCTGTCTGTTGTATTATTTTTTCCCAGATAATTTTAAATGTTATTAAACAGGGAAAAGAAGTGAATATGATCATTTTAGTCGTCCTTACCTGTCCCCTGAACAAATCTTAACAAATTTCAGCCAACTGTAGGAGGGGAAGTTAAAAACATCCCTGCAGATTGGTACCCGGACAGAGAGGAGATGGCAGTTTCTGGTGCAGTGAGGAGGTGCAGAAGCCTGAGCTCGGTGGGTGCCCCATGCACTGGTTGGCGTGGACCAACCAAGGACATAAAGCTGCAGCTGATGGACGTGTGAGGAAGCTGGATGTATGGGGGAAAAATAGGCATGTGGCAGTACAGAAACTGAGATTTTTGTTCTGTATTTGTGTATTTTTTGTCTCATCTTCTCTGGAAGACTCAGATTTAATTTTTTTTGAACTTTTTTGATTAATTTTTGATTTTTTGAAAAATTTCCATGTAATTATACTTTAATTTTTTTGAAAAAGTAGGAAGGTAGGGAGATAGTTTTAAAAAAAGAAGAAATGTGGTAAGATTAGGATAATCTCTCTTGCTTCCAGGTCTGAGCCAAGAATTTTGGTAGACCACTATGGTCAGTAATTTAATACCTTTAGATCCATTTATTCTTTTGGGTATTTAAAAATATTTATTAGCTTATATGCATTTTTATTTGGTATGAAGGCCAGAGTTCATGGTCCAAATTATTTTTTCAATGGCCTTAAAAATCTTAAAACAATAATGAAGCATGTGAAATTTCTCAAATTTCTCTACTTCTGCTGTCAATTTAAGGAGCAGATTACTGACTTGACTGCATGTAGGAATACAGTAAATTCATGTTTAAATTTTTTTATAGAACTCATGCATGAACATGTGTTGGCTCTAAAATGTAATTTCCTGACCCTTTGCAGCAGGTCCTTTAATTCACTGCTTGCAGAAGACTTCTGTAAGTTCACCTGTGGCTTTCTTGTCACTTAATGGTTTTCCTTGGTAATTTTCATAGCTTGACCTCACCAGTTCTCCACAACCTTTCTAATAGGTACATGTTAAAAGAAAAAAAAAATCTTGCTAGTTTTCAGATCTTTAGCAAATTGCTCTTTGAAGGCTTGCTAGATTTTGTTTTTTTTCTTTTATTAATTTATAATGGGTTTATTACATCTAGCTTGCCAGAGCTTATACTTCATCTTCTTTTCCTTACTTGGATGCCATTTCCAATATGGAAAGTAACTATGGGATATATTAAAAAAAGATACATATATTCTGTATGTTTTGTAAACGTGCTCTCCACCAGAAATTTCACTTGCACATCTAAGCTATGACTACCCCTACTACTAAACCGCTGCTATTACTACTGGAGAGAGAGAGGTCTGTGGTGTCCTTACAGGTCTTGTCCCATTCTCCCAGTGCTGAGCTGGAAACCAGGCTGCCTTTTCTCTCATTTGCATTCATTCCTGGTAACAGGTTAGCTACTAACCTGAGTAATGCCCTTCCATTTTTGGGGATTTTATTTTTCCTTTTTTTTTTTTCTTTTATTGTTGTTGTTGTTGTTAAGGCAGGAAATTCCCACTAAGAGCTCTTGACTCTTCATTTCTTCTAAGTTCATGAATTTTGGCATGTTTGCTTTGGGCATTCTTCTCTGTGCTCAATGGTGTTTTGAAAAGAATGAACCCCCTGCAAATACAAAAATAGCCTCTGCATCCCCTTTTGCTCTTCTCTTTCTTTAAGAGTGAATATATTTATATTTATATTTATACTTATATTTATAAAAATATAAAATATACATATTTTGTATATAATATATTCTCTTTATGTAATATGTGTATTATGAAGTTTCTTGCATATAACTCTTAAAAAGTTTAATAGTTCATCATAGTGCTCCGAGATATTTCTACCTTCTTTCAAACTCACTTAAATTGAGTGGTTCCATTTACTTTCATGGGATTTTGTGAGCAGTAGGCCTGGGTAATTAAACACTTGCATCTTTCATTTGTTTTCATTCTGGCAAATTTAGGAGAATTTTAATCCCATGATGAATTCACTGTAAATTTCACTTGCTGATGAAAAATTCTGCTGTGGTGAAAAATTTCAGGACCTAGGGAGAGGAGTGCTTGTTTGTGTATTTGGTTATTTCTCTTGAGGCTTAGCTTTTGTGAAATGCATGAAGAAACCTGAAATCAGGGCTATTTTGTGTGTTGTGTTTACTTTTGAGCACAGTGGAACTGAAGGGCAAGGAGCGACCCAAGTGTGCAGACTTCTAGGGCCCAGCTTATGTAAGCTTCCACTGAGACTCTTCACCTTGGAAATTCCTATAGGTGCCTGAAAGCTAAGTAACACCTCAGATCAGCGTTTTAATTTAGTTTTTACTCCTAAAATATAGTCTAGATAGATGTAATCCTTTAGAGCATCCTAGAGCTGCACACTGCAGTTGTAGGACAGCTCTGATGATGCTCACCTTGCAAATGGGATTCTTCTCCTTCCTTTTGGGGCACTTGTGGTTTCCTCCTGATCTTGCCTCCCAACCGTGCTGTGATGGGGGCTCCTCCTGACGTACCCTACAAGCTCCTTCCCTTGCTTATAGATTCTATAGCAATTGCATGTGCTGCTGTGGTCTGCAATCCTTGTACAACAGAAAGTCTACCTTGTGCGTCGCTTCACGGCCACAAGTTGCTTGCTTCAAGCCAGTTGAGTTTGGTCTTCGTGTATTTCAACTTCGAAATCATTCTGAGAGTTAAACCTAAATGGTTAGCAATGCTTCGGAAACATGGGATTTTTCTCCATTATTAATCAACTTTGACTTTTGGAGCAGCCTGATAAAGCGTTGTCACAACCGTACGGTTGTATCTGGCCTAACAATGTCTGATACCGTTTCTTTCTTTCTTTCGTTTTCTTTCATATTAAATTATAATCTTCATTAAATGCTGCAGTTGGTGGTTAGTTCTGCAAGGAGAAAAACTAACTAAACAAAATTCCCCATAGTATTTCTTTTTTGGAGCTTCATCAGTGTTAGTTTGCAAGACTATCAGAAATGCAGTTGATACGTTCCTGTGTATGGTTGGTATATTCATATGTTCCTTTGCTGGGCAAGGATTTAAATTTTGATTGTAACTTTGTTCCTTAAAAAGGTGGTGGTAAGTTAATTTGAGGCAATAGCATCTAATGTGAAGGTTCAAAATGAAAAAAAAAATGGCTCTTCTTTTAAAAGAAGTGGATTGGAAGCTGCAGTGTGAGAATACATTTAAGTGACCATAAGCTTTGTGGCTTGTGCAGGTCATAATTCTAATTTGAGATCTTTTTTTTCCTTTGGCTACATATGTCTAGTTTCATTTAGGGGAAGAAAAAAAAAAAGAAATACAGTTTCCAGGAAATTAATAGAAGAGTTGAATAATCAGCATGTAAAATATGTATGTATGAATATGTGTATATATGGATAAAGCAAATATATATTCTGAAATGCACACATATATAATCTAAATATTCTGTGGTGCATGGTTGAAGCTGTGATACCCTTTTTTTTTTTTTCTTCTCTGAGCAGCACCCGACAATGCCACCTACTTCTTGATGTCTTCAATTCCACAGAGCACGAGTTGACCATTAGTGCTAAGAACAACGAAGATTTAATTCTGCACGCGGGGGAGTGTCAGCGGTGAGTGCTTTCAGTATTAAAAGGGCCCTCTTTGTGACCCTGTTTCTTCTTTACTTGTACCCTATTCATGTTCTTGCGAATATACTTTTCTTTTTTAACATTTTTTGCATATAAAAAAATGTAATAGTTTTATTTAAAGTAACAATTGATTTCTGAGCAAATTCTCAATAGACTTTATTTTGGCTATGAATCTATTAATACTCAAAATAACAATCTGTAATATAGTTGTGAGATAAACAAAGGGATGTAGCATTAACATGGCTAGTAATTTCATGGAGTGTTTTAATACCATTTTCATGCATTCTCAAAACAGTTGTCATGATGCTACAGCCTGAACGCATCCGACTATCACCCTTTCACAACTAGAGTGAGTCTTTTCTCTGCAGACATCCCAGCCATTCCATCCATTATAATAAAAAGAGAGCTGAAGGGAAGAAAACTAGAATTGAAGGAAAAAACAGTGGTAATTTCTGTAGAAAAAATGTCTGGGTTAAGTAGGCCGTTACTTATGTTGGCTACCAGGGTGATATAAAGGCCATTTTGTAGCTGACTGCAGCGTAAGATACTTAAGAATCATTTGCCATGATAGATTTTCTTTCCTGAGTTTCTGCCATTGGCTGTAGCTAGGAATAGTGTTGCTTGGTTCATCTCCCTCAGACAACTGTGACATTTTAGAGTTGCCATTTTTGTCCTGAAAAGGTGAAACAGAGAAAAAGGAAACGTTTCAGGTTGGTCATGGAGCATCAGCAGAGCTCATTTGTGTTCTGTGAGAGCTGAGCTGCGGTCCCACATCATGCAGCAGAGCTTTGGGTTGAAAGAGGGAGTTTTTGCTACGTTCACCCTCTCATTTCTGTTGTTAAGGTCATCTACATGATGTAGATCTATCTACATGTCATCTACAGGACATGCAGTTGGGCAGAAAGATAATATAGAATATCTCACAACATTAGTAAAGCTGCAGTATTCTTTGCTGCTAGTGACTTTGGTATTGCATACACACAAATGGAGGCTGGGCAAAAAATATTGCTAAAATAGAGTGTTTTTAGCTTTTGCTCTTTATTTAGAAAGCATTAGGTTTTTTTTGTTTGTTTGTTTTGTTTTAAGCAAACTAAATACTCACCACAATGTGCATATTCTTATCCATACAATAGGTATAATTTTACTCCTATGCCTTGCTATTTCCCGTTGTTTTTTAACATTGTGTATTTTCTTAAGGTCTGTGGTATAATCATAATTTCAGTTCTCACAATGATAGATAATAAATAGAAATAATGCTGCAAAAAAATGTTATAATGTTACTTTGCATCTCCTTGACTGAATTGCTTTCATTTTTCTGGGGGTTTAATACCTGAAGTTTAAATATCCTTAAATCATTATGTTGTGATGGATATAAACCTTTCCAATAAAGTCTTTGAAACGGTCATTTGTCAATGAGGATTGTGCAAGTGGTGAAAGTATTTGAACCTTTTAAGGATAATGATTTTAATCTTACTGTGAAATACTTTTTATTCTCGTTTAGATATTGCCCTAGGTTTTCTGATCGCTGCACTCATTTCTTTTTTTGTTGCTTGAATGCTAAGCTATTCATTTAACCCTGTGTATGTCCGTAGTATTGCTTAAAAGACTTAATTTTTGTTCTTATCCATCTGCTAGAGAACTTTAGATAGAGCACAAACTGGGCCTTAAAGTTAGCAGATCCTCTAGCAATGGGTTTTTGTTAATCCTATGGAAAAGAACAACTCGGGAAATCTTTTCGTGATCCTTCCGCAAGGTGAAAAAATGCTATTTAGATACTACTAACAGAAAGTGCCATCTTTTAGTGCCTTAAAATACCATCTAAAAATATTTTTGTACAGTAAGATTGTTCTGTTGGCTGGGAAAGATTATTGTTTTAGCTTTTAAAAAGCCTTACGTTTAAAACTTGCTGCAAATTTTTAGTGCATTTATTAAGAATATTTAGTGTGTGTGATTCTCCAATCTGTGTGACTGTTCTCCAATTTTTGTATGAAGTGGAGTTTCTGAGAGGATGCATGCTTCTTATATTTTAGGATATAGATTTGTAGGGACCATGTGCTTTGCTTATTTCTTGGCTCACTCATTCTGTCTTTTACTGTTATATTTTCTGTGAATGCACAGGAGCAGCCTTTCATTTTTCTCTATCCCAGGATATTACATGTCAGTGATGCTCGCTTTTTTCCGTTTCTATATGATTTGAAATATTCCTCTATGTCCCGCTCCATCTGAAATTCGTTGTACGACAGTCGATGTCTTGGCAAAAAGCTGCCAGGTAACTTATTCTAGAGAAGTTCTCCCTAGTGAAAATGAGAGTGAAACTGAGATGCCTGCAGAATCTTCAGTTAATTAAAATATTTGTGACATACAACATATGTGGTATCTATATGCTTTTAATCTATGTGGTTGAACTAAATTCTCTTGAATTTAGTGCTGGAAAGCTCAGTCTTCACCTGGGTTTTGGACCAAGGGAGCCTGCCACGTGCAAAGCTATCATGAAGTAACTGTGCACTGATGAAGCTGCCTTACGGCTGTACGTTGTTGGCCTGTTGAAATGCTATGAATACAGCTGATCTCGTTCCTCACAGCAACGTGGCATTTAACTGAATGCTTCCAAATGGCAATATATAGGAGGCAGCTCTGGCAGGCAGTTGGGTTATGTATGTTAAAATAAGAAGTGCCTTGCCAGTAGCAGTGTGTTTAATTTATTGTAGAAGTTAGGTACGGTAATTATTGTGTTTCTTGATTATCAAACCATTAAAATTAAATTTCATGACAGCCCTCATTTATGCGTAAATCACTTCATAATTTATGGTAATAGACGTTATCTCATTATATGCCCCAGGATATCTCATTTTGTACAGCGTGCCCTGCACTGCCTTTGCATTGACATTGCGTGCGGAGCACATCTGGCACTTGGGCATCCCAACCATTGAGGAGTTACCAAGTTTCCAAGGTAGAGGTCTGAGCAGATTGATCCTCTTGTCTGTCTTTCTGGTCCAACACGACCAAGTTGGGGAAGTCGTGCAGGTGCCTAGGATGAACAAAGGCTCCACAGCTGATGGCTGTACATATAGGAAGTCTAGAGGTTAGAGATTGAACTCTTTTGGGTTTGGGGTGAGGACTTCAAGGATTGAAGCTTAGGGAATAGGATTGGAGTGAGCAGTGAAGACATGAAGAGCAAATAGGCCATAAGAACAGACTAGGAATAAAAGGGTCAAATGGTATCTCTCATGGCAGAAGACGTCTAGTGGGTGTCATCCCCTAGAGAAGCCGTCTTTCCCACTGTATGCTGGATTGAGTTTCAAGTTTATGGAGATTTGTGTTTCAAAAGGTAAAGGTAATTATTTCTGAAGCTCCTGGATGGGTGTCTCACTGGTAAAAGCCATCACAAGTGATAAGATCCATTGACTGTTAGTTCAAATGACGGAGGAGCAAAATTGCTAAGTTCTGAAAACTCCGGGTGACCTGTACACTAAAGAAATCCTAGAGTACCAAGAGCGTTCAGAAGTTATTCCAAGAAAAAATTCCAGCTCAGCTTGCTGCTGGGTATCTAGTTCCTGCCTATTAGGACAGTTATTGAGCTGAATGAATGAGCTTTCTTATCCATATCCACCATAAAAAGTTACCCATTACTTTTAAATTAAATAGGTATCTTTCTCAGTTTTGATAAGTAAACTTTTGTTGCATTGACTTCAATTATTTTAGAATATTCTTTTTTCCTTTTTAAATCCTGATGACAGTTAAGATAATTAGTTTAAGAAACAACAAATTATTTTCCTTATTATCTCTTAGTGTGATTGTGTTGAAAGATTATGTTGAAAGTTCTTAGAAGTGTATTTTTAAAGAGTGTCATTGACTACTGCTTAATTAATGTATTTAAATACATTGATTAATCGAGCTATAAAATCTGTGAATATCTTATTAGACTTAATTGGCTAAATGTTGAATTTGTAGGAATGTCATTACACTGGAAACTGGTTGCATGATTAGTGTTAAATACTTGCTATCTTTTTTTCAATTGTTAGCAATAAATGTATATTAAATAATCAGTGTTTGTATTCAGCAAGAAAAATCTTTCAGCTGCATTGAAATACTACATCCTGCAGTTTCTGCAGTGCTAGTCACCACTGCACATACCTATTTAAAGCATTTCGAAATATGCCATTTTGGCACCTGCCGAAGTGTGCGAAAATGTAAATATTCTGCCCTTTCCTAAATCGTCAGTAAGTCCCCTCAATGGATTTATTGCCCGTGTATAAGTAAATCATGATGGGTAGTTCTCTTAGCTGCTAAGATTATGTTTAATTTGTGCTCGTGTTTATGATAGAGCAAGTTGTCTGTATGAGAGATTAATGATGTCTTCCTTACGTTGAACTTATAGTTTGTGTTTTAAGACATAGCTGCTGTGATTGGCATGTGTGTTGCCATCAAAGAAAAAGAGAATTTCACAGCAGTTTCCCTGGGTCTTCCTGTGCAATCCATGGCGAGCTGGCAGTTTTTTCAAAGGAAATTTAAAGAATACTGAAGGTTGTGTTAAGGAAAACGTGAAAATCACTTATAATGCTTCCATGGTAATATTTTTGTTTTGCCTCACACTTGTTAAATACATCAGTTTTGTAAAGCTTGCCTTCTTTTAATACTAATAGACAGATCACTCTTTAAATATGCCACATAATTTGGTGTGAATAATTCATTTTCAGCAAAGAAATTGGGAAGGAAGTGTTCAGTAGGGAAGGGAAAGTTAATGCATATAGCATCTGTCTGAACAATATTATGGTCCTGTTCTGGTTTGTATGGTCCTATTATGGTTTGTATCTATTTCAGATATTTGGAAAAATTGGAGAGAGTACTGAGAAGATCTGCAGAAAGGATAGTGTGGCAAATTGTTTGAGTAAAGAAAAACTCAGTTTTTAAGACTGATTTGTAATTAAGAGAACTTGAGAAATGTCTTCCATGGAAAGACATGCTTCTGTGGTAAGAAGTGA